GCAGGAGAGGGCGAAAGCGGCGGTGGCCGTCATCCACAAGGTGGCCACCAAGTCCGTAACCCTAAAGGGTTCGTTTGTGAGGGCCCTTAAGGACTCCACCTCCGCTTTGTCGGAGGTCGTGGAGGGCCTGGTGGGCGATATCTCTCGCCCACAGTTGGCCAACGAGAATTTCACGGAGCGGGTGAACGAGCTGAGGGCTCAGTTCGCCCGCTTCCAGGCGAACCTCCCCGAGCGGGAAGCCCCGTCCGCGTCCCAGCCTGCCCCTACCACCAACTCAGGGGCATTTGACTCCCAACTGCGTGAAATCCTCATCGCAGTTGGGAATATGCTGGACGGACGCCTGGCTGGCCTGGAGGCGAGACTGCCCCCTGCGCCGGTTTTGTGCGCCCCCCGCTCGCGTCGGCACAGCGGCCTAAGGCCGCCGCTCCGACCGCGCTCCCCGTGGTGGGAGGCCGCGTTTCTTACGCGGCGGCGGCGTCTGCCCCTACTCCATCGGCTCCCCAAAAGCCGAGGAGGGGGGCCAAGGCACCGGCCCAGGCGCCGGCCAAGGCACCGGCCCAGGCGCCGGCCAAGGCACATCCCCAGGCGCCGGCCAAGACGGGGCCTAAAACAGCGCCGAGGAGCGGAGTGGCATTCCCTCCGCTCCCCACTCCGACACCCCTGCCGGGCCCCTCCGCACCTGCCCCCTCCAACGAGGGTTGGCAGGAGGCGAGGGGCTCCAAGAAGTCCCGAAGGCGGGCAAACTCTCGTCCCTTCCGGCTGACGCAGGTGCTTTCCGGGCACGGTTGCTTCGGAAAGTACCTGCACTCGGTCGCTAGGAGGGAACTAAGTCCCGCCTGCCACCACTGCGACTGCAGTGAGGACTAGGCCCAGCACACGCTGGTGGTCTGCCCCGCATGGGCGACGCAGCGCCGGGCCCTCACTGCAGTCATCGGAGTGGATCTCTCGCTACCGGCCGTAGTACGCTCCATGGCCGGTAGCGACAGTTGTTTTACCGCGGTCGCAACCTTCTGCGAGGAAGTAATCTCGCAGAAGGAGGCGGCGGAGAAGGCCCGGGAGGACGACCTCCACTCGGACCCGATCCGCCGCCGGCGAACCGGGCGGCGGAGGCGCGCCTATCACCGCCTCATGCCGCCCTGAGTGTGGCCGCGGGTGGACGGGGTGGGTTTCCCCTCCACCCGCATTAGTTTGGCCAGCCGCGCAGCCGCGAGGGGGCGGCGTCCGCGTGTGCCGGACGTCGCCTAAAGAAAGGAACAATTTTGAGACGGGGCCCGCAACTGGAGCGGGCCGGCGCACTGTGGAATATTTCGGTGTGTTTCGGATTAAAAATCTGTAACTCCGTCAATTCAAAAGATAAAGCTATCAAATTTTGTTTTAATATAAAGTAATACATAAGAGTTCATATAAGTAATGTTTGATGAATTGGAATGATGCGTATTTTTTTTTAATTGATGAAGAAAGTCACAAACATTAAAAATAAAATTCATTTATTGAAATATATTTTTTTACAAACATATCGTATGTGTATTTTTTAATTCTAATAACTCAATTAAGATGATTAACATTAAAATGATTATATAAAATTAAAAATCTAAAAATATCTGTAACACTACGCTTAAATATAGAAACATATTGAACTAAAATTATCGCAATATATATATTTCTTTATTGATCAGCAAGATTGACATCTTACACCCTGTGAGCTTCAAGATCGGAAATAAGTTCATTAACCTTGAGAAGGTGTAAAGTATCTTCATCGAGCTCCTTAACATTTTTTGCATATGGTTTTCTTATGCTCGTTATATATGGATCTGAGATGTAAAGTAGTGTATTCAACACATCTTCGTTTGTTGCTATTCGAGAGCATTTCCGAGCATGGTGTAAGCGAAATTTTTTATAGTCCTTATTGCGAGATTCTTGAGCATCTTCTGAAAGTTGTCCAATTGGTAATACTGCGAAATGGTTTATGATACTCTGTCCGTGAATTAAAATTTTGTGGACAGATGATGGCATGTAATACCAACTATATTTACTCACGTATATTCTTGCTGTTTCCAGAGCATAATTACCAAATTTCTTACTATCTACCACTATACCAGATGACAAAGCCTGTAAAATTATGTATAACCGTTTAATTAAATCAATGTCAACTCCTGTGATATCAGCAGAACAGGCAGCATTGTAAAAAAATCTTCTAGCAGTATTGCCATCATTACTATTTCCCGTCCCCTTTCGTGGTTTGTCAATATTTAGACCCAACTCTTCACGAAATCGCTTCTGTACTTCAGCCTTTTTTTCTTGTTTGAGTCTTTTTTTTTCTTCGCTTGTAGCAGACCAAGTTTGGAAAGATAGATTATATGATATGTGTAATATCATTTCCATGCAACGAATCCAGGCATGTAATGTGGATAATCCGTATTCATAAGCATTTTCATTTTCAGGCCTGGCTGTTACTTTTGTTAAATCATTTATTTGTCTAGAAGTTGCTCCGCATATTGTACATGTGGAACTAGAAGGCGTATCTGTTAAAACTTGTGCCACTTTTCCGTCTATCATCGTCAAAAAAAGTTCATGCTTGACTTGAACTCCCACGCCTTCTTTATTAATTACTGATGGAAGCAAAGTTTGTATTTGATTTTTTATTTCATCTACAACAGATTTAGTTTTTTCTGGTGTTTCTTTGCAAAATTCTATAGATATAGGCCGACAAAAACGAACAGATGAAGGCACTGGATTTTGCCATATGATGGCGCCTGTTTCCTCGTCAATTAATCTGATAGGCACAAAAGAAGTAATAAATAAGTTCAGACTCCTCTGGTAGAGGTTGCTTGTACTGGCTTTGTCCAGATGACCCATCACAACCCCATTTGCTATATAATATTAAATGTTTTTGTCCATTCTTGTAAACTGTATCTATACATAAAATTCGAGCTGCAGTGTGATCTAATAGATCTTGAACTCTCAATATTTTTGCATAAGTATTTGTGATTTCGGTTGTTGATGATGGTGGATAGCATCTCTGTTTCATTTCTTGTATTTTGTAGTATGGTGGAAATAAAGAACACTTTCTTTCATCTGTAACGTTCCTAACATACAGATATTGTACCTTTGTTAGTTCCAAGTCGATGAAGACACTTAAGGCTTCTTCATCTGTAAGCCCTTTAATTATTTTTGCATCATCTAATTGATTTATAACGAATACCTTTTTCTGTGCATCAGCCAACCTTAATTTTTCAACAGCTTTTGCTTCAGTTCCTTCTCCTATAGAACGCAATCCTTGAAGATATGCGCTTAGAATGTGCTCCAAACCATATTCATTTAGCAAAACGGTGTTTTTCCTTTTTTTGCTCGATTGTGAAGAGTCTCCATATGACACACACGGTCTTCCTCTTTTACCAGAAGAAGTAGACGGTGTAGAGTCCGTTGACACGTTTTCTGATGTTGGTATGGTTAACAAATATTCAGAATCCAACCGATTGGTGTTCTTTCTTAAAAAGGTATTCTTATTGCGTTCTGGTTCACTCTAGCGTTTATTAAACGATGGGATGATATCCCTTTGAATATGACCAATAATAAAACATATATTGTCTTCTGAAACTTGTTTTCCCCCCAAATATGTTGAAGTGCCGCAGTCGTTTTTCCGTCTTCTATATAAGACACTATTAACTCACGTTTAGTACAGTTAAAAGTCGACATATTGAATAATGAACTAGAGTAGGTACACACAGCCGTACTAGAGTAGGTAGAAACGGTAATGGAGAAATATTTTTTCACTGCCCTTTTTATATTGTTTCAGTATGTGGGAATATTTCAGATATCTATTTTCTCACGAAAAATGACATCGAAATGATAAAAACTTAACAATATCAAATAATTAATTCATAAAACGTATCACAAGTTATTGATAATAAAAGTAAACTACGAAACCGCATTTGATAGCGATTTCCGTTCCCAGACTAGTATTCGATTTTTTCCCATATCTTCGTAAACCGCAAAAAACCGCAGTTAATTTTTTTATATGTTTTAGGTGAGTAACTAACCTATGAATTACCATTAAATTCAAAGCATCGGTAAACAACTCTAAATGGTAAAAGCTTCGACGAAGTTGAGGAAGGAATATTTTTTCCCCATTTTTTCTTTAAATTGGTTTTTAATTATATATTCGTATTAAAAACAATCAATTGTATTTATTTATTTCCTCTGATAGATGAGCTTTATAAAAATATATAATACCTTATACCTTTCATTTCAAGTTTTAAAACTATTTCACGTTGAAAAACGTAAATAAACAACTAAATATTTCCCAATTGCTTAAACGTTTAACTTTACTACATGAAAAAAAAATTTATACCAAATACAATAGGAGTTACGCTGCAGAATATTAAACCTCGACTTCTGAACTTTTAAATTACATTCATAAAGTGCCCAATTTCAATCAGTGATAAAAATCAATTTTGATATGCCTTTGTTCTACCATATTCCACAGTGCGGCGCTAGGAGGGGCCCGGATGTCTTAATAACAGCTGTTCCCGGATCCCTCCTATTACAGGCGCAGAGTGGCATACCGTGTGGTTTTAGTCGGTCCGAGTCCGACACACCACCCCGCCGCAAACCCCGGTGGGGTGACGGTCCGAGGGAATTTCCACACGTTAAAAAAAAAAAAAAAAGGGTTTGTTTCAAGTTTTCCTTCGTACTATACATATGCCCAAAAACCAATTGAAATATTTTTTGTCTGTCTGTCTAACTGTCTGTTTGTTCCAGGTAATCTTTAAAAACGGCTGTACCGATTTTAATAATATTTTACTACCAGGTAGCTGTCAATAGAAGGAGTAACTTAGGATATATATTTATCTCACAAAACCCCAATCGCGTACCGTATTACATCACTAAGTCAGCACTTTTCAATATATGATATAATAATGGAGCTACAAACTGCTTACAGAATATGGATAAAATTATTTTCACCATAAGAGTGACAAAACATGTCTTTTTTATTGCAGCTGATCTAATGAAATTACGACGAGAGTTTGCCAAAACTTGGAACGGAATATGCAGAATATGGATACCTACGTATGGTGCAGTGATTATATTTAATCCAGAAGATATTGAGGTAAGTTTTATTAAAGCTAAACTTTTGAGTACTTTAATCATAAATTCATAAAGCAATTTTAGCGCTTGCGTCATCAAATTAGGTATTAGGTAGGTATGCTACGAGTAAGATCATAAACATCAGTATTAATAATTTTATATTGTGATTTATAATCAAGTTAGGTTCAATGATAATATATACAAACAAGAGGTAGATATGACACTCACGTACAATACACGTGCTGTATATTGACCTTATTTAGGACCACTGGGCACTGCAATCAGTCGTGTAACATGCCTTTCTGTGTATTGCAAAAGTGCACTAATTACGGAAGAAAAGTAAAAAATATTATATCACAGGTAAGTGTATATAATTTCATAGTGTTATCTTATTAAACAATAATTAAAATAAAATGATAGATCAAATAATAATGATAATAGAGATAAAATAATAATGAATCACAGTTTCAATTACATTTATAGTCATAGATTATAGTTATAGCGCAAATACCACAACCCTTTTGTAGTATTTGCGCTATAACTATAACTACACGAAACTGTAAAAAATATGAAAATGAATTCCCTTAATTTTTTTTAGTGTAGACTGAATTATTTTGATTCATTATTAATTTAATGTCTGTAAAATATAATGCATAATAAATCAGTTGGCGTGCTTTAGGTTAAGCGTTTTTGGCATAAAATACTGTATTTTTTGTTAATTTTTATAATACTTAAATATATTTTCAGGAGCGTAAAGAAAATAAACATCATACTCTTTCCAGTTCAAAATTTATGTTCGACGTTTTATAATAAATGTGTCTACTTGTAAAATATGTGGTTTTTATTTCGTGAAACAATTATAAATTTTAATGTATAAATGACCGAGTATTGAATGATTTAAAAACTGCAAGGGTACCTGATATTTTGAGATTATAATATTCAAATGATATACTAATTAAACACAATAATAGAAATGAACATAAAAATTGAGTCCTTCAAAGCCATAGTATCGGTTCTGTATATAAGTGACGATCTATGACGGAGCGAATTATTCGTGGCTGTACTGATTACAAATAGCTGTCTCTTTCACCCTTATGCTTTCCCTATTTCACATCGTACTTGTAGCGATGTTTTGTTCTATAATGCTTTAATGGATGTATGTGTAGTGTTACGGAACAAATATTTTGTGCGTGCCATTGATATAATACTTACATAGATGAGTAATTACCGCCTAAAATCGTTGCTACTGCACATCTGTCCACAGGCATATGTGTAGCAAACGTCAATTCAGTGTTCAATGTGGCGTCAACCGAGTTGACCATAGCGACACATGACAGCAACAATCGCCAAAATGAGTAAATGCGTAGTGAAAGAATGCGATTCAAGGTCACAAAACATTAATAAATCATGCGGAATTACTTTTCACGTGTAAGTTTATGGTTTTTGTATTGATAATATCGTAAATAAGGCTATAATTGAAATAAAACACTGATAATTGTAATTTAGAATCAGTGTTACCATTAAAAAATCATTTTGTTTTCACTTTTATTATTAAATGCTATTATTTTTACATACGTAAAAATAAGATTGTATCATGAAAGTAAAATATCCACACAAACTTATAAAAAAGAGTCTAAAAGACAATTGTATACAAAACTGATGCTTCACAGCGCAGTTTGATTTTACACTGAATATAAACCCTTTTAACCAAATATTTCCAGTTATTTTATTATTTATACCTATTCTATTCAATTCGAAATATATTATTTAGAATATTTAAATTAATTTATTTTATTACAAAATTGTTTTAAAAAAGAATTGATTCTTAGTTGTTATGGGTAAAATTTCATACGGTAGCCAACACTGGCCCACCATCGTAAAGTTATGTCTTTGTCTTTGTCTAATCCGAGCGATGGTATTGTTCTTGTCTCGCGTGTAAATGAGACATAAATATGTTTACTTTCAAATGTTTAGTGGTATCAAAGCTTCGTCGTCAAAGTTCAAAAGTTATAATGAGGTTTGCTTCTCTAGTGTTGTTTTAACTCAATGGTGCGTGCAGTATGAATGTACCATATCCTACCAACCTTAAAATAAATACCTTCCTTAAAATATCATTGGTGAGGTACTTACAATTATTACGTTTTATATTTTAGAGGTATTCATATAGTAAGTAAGTATGATTATGATTTTCTGAACATTAGATGTATTTTCCCATATATATTTTGATAGCAATGATGGCTTGGAAATCCATAACTAAGTACTTCATCCTTTAACATCACATCATCACATCACATCAACAGCCTTTAATAGTCCACAGCTGGACATAAGCCTCTCCTTAGAAAGGAGGCTTTGGTCATCCTTTAACGTTATAATAAAAAAAAATAGTTAATAAACGAGACGATTTTACTTACTAAGCAATTGTTTATTTTATGATTACAATTATAAATTGTATACGTATAGAATTTTGTAAGAGTGCCGACTTATTCAAGTGTACATAAAGGAATGATCTAATCTACCGAATAAGCGGGACAGGAATTTATAACCACGGTTTGACAGTTGGATGTGACGTCACTGATGATTAATGGCGGGCTTGGCTAACGGTTTGGCGCTAAACTGTCGTGGCGTGGCATTGGCTTGTCTTGACTTGATATGGCTTGGCTTGGCTTCATATAGCTTGGCTTGGCTTAATATAGCTTGGCACGGCGTAGCGTTTAATATAGAAGTTTTGCATTGGCCTACCACGTACCCTACTACCACGCAAACGAAACATTTACACCACATTTTCTGATATATTCTTTATTCCGTTTCATCTTTATGGCACGATACGGTCGCCTACTGTCGCTATATCAGCTATGTGTGCAATGATAATGATAATACCAAAAACAATAAAGACATAAAAGACGAGTTATGTTGCGAGGACGGCAGGAAAGCTGAAATTCCAATGGTATTAAAATATTAACAAACTACTAAAAAAACCATATCCTTACAGTCTTCATCATAGCTAGATCACGATCAAAAATGTGGGGCTGTAGACATTCACATCAAATTATTTCTCTTTATTTATTTATTTTATTCTTACGTACACAATATAAATAAATATAAAAAAATACATTAAGGAATAGTGAGCACAAAGGCGAGCTTAACCCATAATTGTTCCAGCAAACCTACGTCTGAAGAGAGGATAGCACAACAAAAGAGAGTAGTGTGTACAGAGTAAATTTAAGAAAATATACAGAAATAGAATAGAATATACAACTGAATATATACCTACAGAAATAGAAATTTAAACAAAATAACCAAATATCATGTATATAAACTATAATATAACACAGGGACAGGTGTTTTAATTTACTCTGTGGTTTACATGGGAAAAGAAAAGTGTTGTGTTGATATTACTATTTTCCACGCCATGTTTACGTTTTTTCACTCTTTAAGAACCTTCCTGGTTCCTTGACGAAAATAGGAAAAAAAGTTGCCAAATTTTCGAGTTTTGAACGTAGCCAACACATGTGGCGATTCATTTTAATTTATTTAGATAATAAAAGATATTCCAATTTTTATTTGAACAATAAAATCATTAAAAATTATTTATAGGCAGTTATATCGGACCTACAACACAACGGTAAAAGCAACTTATATTTGCTATTTAAGTCGTGGTTACAAGATGGACTACTGATGAGTAAAGGTAAGAAAAGTAGTATTTTCAAGTCCTATATAGTATAGTCATATCAAGTCCTATATATGTAGAATATTATTATATTATATAATGTCAGTACTGAAAAGAAATATCCCAGTGTCACCGCTCAAAGAATATCAGTACATCTTGCCAGTGCAATAAATGTCAAAATCATGTGTACAAAAGACACAGTGAGCAATGATTTCCATTGGGCAATGTTATTCCTAAACTGCTGAGTTGAAAAAGATATTGAATCAACTCAACAGGTTATTTGGTTAGGCCACGAAGCAAAATTTGCTGGGGGGAGGGGGAGGACAAAGGACGTGTTAATATTGTGCTTAACGAGAAAATCCTTGACGAAATAATAATTGATTTTCTAAGTTGTCGGTCAGTTATTTAGTCGATAGCGGTTTGTATTGGGTTAACATAACATAACATCTATCGCCTTAGGAAGGCCTCAAGAAATGTAACAATCGATGCTGATAACCTGAGTAACTTCAAATTCTTCCATTCCGGAATTCATGTACACAGTGGCCAGTTATAATATTAATATTCTATCAAATATATAATAAACAACTCAAATATACAACTCAAAATTGCAATTATTTTTTTTAGGTTCTAAATGGCAGGAACGTCGAAAAATTTTAACGCCTGCATTCCATTTTAAAATTTTGCATAACTTCTGTGGTATAATTGAAGAGAACAGTCAGCGATTATTGGAAAACCTCAAACTCACAGTTGGCCAGCCAATCAATATTGTACCAGTGGTATCAGAGTTTACTCTTAACTCTATATGTGGTAAGTATTAACTATATTCTGAGTATGTAATTATGAGTACACGATAAAAATGAAAAATGTACAAATATGAAAACTAACTAAATCTTTATATTATACTAGCTGACCCGCGCAACTTCGTATATTTGTGAGGATAGATGGCGCTCGTTGTCGTATTAACATCGGCTCTGTGTAATAAATACGTCATATCATTTTCACAGCATAACATGTAGTGAAACAATTACATATACAATAAAACAACAATAGTACACTGTAAAAACAATGATCTAGTGTCATAGTCAGTATAACAAAATCTAAAATCTAAATAGTGAATGTCATCGACCGTTAATTTTATTTAAAAGCCATTGACGTTGGACGTTCTTTGAACTTCGATCAACAATAGCAACTAGATAAAGGGTCACGTACAAAGTCAAAGCTAAATGCTGTCCGCGTGAATATATACTTATGCAGCTACATTTGTTTACCAACAAACGGATGGAAAAGTTTTAAAATAGTTTTAAGTTCAACCTAATTACAACTATGGTGCACAGTAATAAAGTCACAAATCTTCAAAATATTATCTAATACTTACGATCATTCCTTGCAAAAAACGAGCAAAGGAATAAATTACTCCTATCACTTTCAATTGAAAAGACATAACTTAAATAACATTTAGTGCAAAATCAACCTTATAGAGCAACAAATAAAGTACTTTTTCTCGTTATTGAGAGCTACATCGTTTTGTTTTGTTTTGTTTATTTTTGCTTCTTCGAGTTCTACTACAGAAGGTATGGAGTCGCGTTGAACACTAAAATAATTTATAATATCAACGTAAAATATTAGTTGCTTACTTTATATGTTTCAGACATCTATGTATGTTTGTTAGTATCTTTACATTACTGATTATTTTATTAACGTTACATTTTTGTGTAATATGTATTTACTTTATCACTAATGTGGTATTTACAAAAGCTATTTAGACGGATACAGTATTAATCGTTATCAAAATAAATACGTTAGTTATCTTAAGCATTTCATACACATTATAATAGCCCTTTACACCATGCAATTTAAATGAATATGTTAGGAGATATCTTAAATTAAAAATTACGCGCGAGTGAATAAATTCGCGAATAAAACTCATCCAAACCAACAAGCTAATGCAAAAAATGTAGGCATTTAATGCTTTAAGCGACCCGCCCTGACACCTAAAGCAGGACCCGCACAGATATACCAAATAAAATATCCCACATCTTTTTATGACACCTGCTACTAAGTACTTATGTATGTATATTTGCTGGTATGTATAAGTATTTGTTTTTATGAATATAAATATGTATATGTATTTATATATATTTGCGAATGTGTATATTTATTATATTATATATATGTAGTTATTATCTCTTTTATATTCGTTACTAATTAACCTTAAAAACTCATTTCACCAACAACCACTACTATCTCTCCCGAACAAAGGTTTGTGCGTGTGTTGGCGAACCTTGGCCAAACATTTGTAGCGCTGGTTTAAAATCGGTAATTTTGTTCAAAATTTGATATTATTTATTAGTTTAAAGCTTAAAATACAACTTATTCTTCATGTACTTACCGAAAGTAAGATACTATGGCCGTTAAATTTCGTTTTCGGGTATTATTTTTGCAACTTTTGAATACGTGCATACGGCATTGTGAGACGTGTTTACATTGGCTGTGTTTTAAGCGAACCAAACAAAATAAGAGCTCACGTCTCAAGTGCGCTCTTATTTATCGAGACGTATTTTTTGCGCCGACCCGATATCTAGTTGCTATTGTTGATCGAAGTCTTTGAATGAGAAATTGGACTTTGGACCTAGCTCACTATCAACAAAAACAATTTAAAAATACTTCACCCTGTTAAAAAGGAAATGATAACCAATTTTATTGACATTATTAATGTTCGTTTGGCTTAGCGGGATACACAGCAGCTTTTACTCACCTGTGTTCTGATTGGATTAAGTTCGCGAAACCCGCACATATCAAACCTTCTTTTACCAATTGTGTAGCTTACTAAGTATACTTAGAAAGGTGAACACAATAAAATTTCTTTGAGCTTATTATACTATAACACTTCGGAGACAACTACTTGTGTTAAAATGTATCTTTCCGTTACCTAACTACCTACTAATTACCATTGTCTCAGCTACATCTATTGCTTCATAGATATATTAAATATATTTAAAACAAAAACAAAATGGATATGGACTCAGTAAAAGTTACAATTAGACGACACTGTATTTTAAGAACAATTTCACTTGAAATGTTATGCCAAAAAAATTCGATGAATTCTACTGTATCTGATGACATACTAGAAAGGAGCCTAAACCTACCGACGCATAAGCACTGTTCTATTGTTGCTTTTATGCTTGGCAAAATTCTCAACTGCTGACTAAATTATCATACCATCTTGTGATTGTACTGTGGAACCTTATTGCTCTTTATTTGAATAAAACCAAAGAGTAAGTGTATAAATACAAGTTAGATTTAGTGTCAGACACACTAATTAATCCGATCAACATATAACGATCCGATACAAATCGATTTAATCTATTCCTCAAATAATTTTTTGTCAGCTTGAAAAATTATCGTAGTTTGTTCAATGGTTTTCAAATACAATATATTCTATTAATGATTTCTGTCCTTGCAGAAACAGCAATGGGCACCAAACTCAAAGAAAATGGAAGTGCTGGTAAAACCTACAAAGAGGCTATACACTCGTTGGGGTCCCTGTTTATGAGGCGGTTATCAAGATTTTATCTTTATTCTGACTTTGTTTTTAATTTATCACCATGCGGGAAAGAACAACAACGGCATCTTAACACTGTGCATAATTTTACAAAAAATGTAATAGAAGAAAGAAAAGTTTACGCTGATACGCATGGCCTTCAAATAAATGATGAGAACTTAATTAATGACGAAGATGTAGTTTATAAGAAAAGAACAGCATTGTTAGACTTATTGATATCTGCCGAAAAAGACGGGTTGATAGATCGCCAGGGCATTCAGGAAGAAGTCGACACGTTTATGTTTGAAGTGAGTAAACTGTATATAGTTGCCTGTTGAAAGTCGAATGAAACAGTCATCGGCAGGTCCGCTAGCTGTTTGAGCGCCCGCGTGCAATGCCGATGAAGCTGTCTTTTCCGTGCTTTGACTTGGTCCGTTCCCGGGCTAGGCGGGTCGGGACCCTCTCCCGGTCCCACTTCGCTTTCCTTCGCGAGCATACTTTGCTCGAAGCCACGCGCGTTCGCTCCGTATTAAATAAATTCAGGGGCGGATTTACCAGAAGGCTGAGTAGGCTGGAGCTAAGATCGGCAAATTTTAGGAGGCGGCCAATTTGGCCCAATTCCTTTTTTTTTTATTAAATCTAAGGGGAGGCCTATGTCCTAATATAGTGTGGACAGTGGACTAATATAGGCTATTGATGATGATGATGAAATTAGTAATTTTGACAAAGTTTTTTACGAATCATCACTCACGTCGGCATAAGGCCTTGGAATACGCGCCTCCGCCACCCGGTTAGTTGGCGACGAATTAGGACCGCGTGAAAATCTCCCTAACGGGCCCTCTTCACCGCCGCCGCCACCTCTTTCCGCGCAATTACAACGTCGCAAAACAGCGATGCGACAGCCATGAAACATCTGTCACAATCGGCCAAGGCCTCCACCTCCGTAGACACGGTGCGGCAACCGCGTATGGCTCTAACCGTCAATACCTTCTGAGGGCGCCAGAGATGCACTCTATTCTTAGCGGTCAGAGTCACCGTCTGCACCGGTGCACCGTATAGGGCCATCAACTGCACTACCCCCGTGTACTGCCGTCTTATCGCGATGCTGGGTCCACCCAAATTGGGCAAAAGTCGTCCAAGGGCAAACGGAGCACCGACCGACATTTATTATATTTAATTTTGGACGAACAGCAAGCTTGCTAATATGTTAACATTGCTACACTAGCCAATAGTATACCATATACAAATCCACAAATATATATGTTTGAAAAAGAAAAATATTTTTAAAATAATTAGCTGCGTAATACGGAATAATAATGTCAATCATAGGGACGCGTAATTGAGAACAGACTGTAAATTCAAATCAATACTTGAAAATAGTTTCAACTGAGTAAAACTTAAAACGCAATCCATAATAAGATCGATACTAGAGTTTTGATCTGCAATTAAAACTAGTTTTAGACAATCAGAGTTTAACCGATATTTGAGACGTCTTGGGCCGAGGTGTTCTGTGTCCGTTTCATATATTTGTAAAGTCCTCCGCGACACAAGATATATTCCTAGTGCGGCAGTTGTAAAAAAAAAATGAGCCCGACCACCGATACCCCTGGTGGCCAGGCGCGCCGCCTCTTGAAAGTTTGCCTCTCAGGGGGTTTGACATGGGTTAGAGGGCTAGGGCCAGCACTCGGGCAGGTATCGCGTCTGGGCTGGGGGTTATGTTTTTGAAGATAGATCCGTAAGACAACCGCCCCTAGCTCCGCATCCGTGACGAGTTGAACATCATCCATGTTATTGCCACCGTTTCTGGCCAAGGAGACCATTTACGGGGGTGAGTATATATTGTGGGAAAAGATCCTCAACCACTTCCTTTTGTTGCACCGCTCGATAAGGGTCGGTCGACTTACGATCGAGATCCTACAGCATTTCCACTTGGTTTGGAAAACTAATCTAGGAACAAGGGTATTGAATTGAGAGTTAGGATGTCTTATTTCCAGCTGTTCCGAATTCCTCCTATTTCAGGTTCAGAGTAGCATACCGTATGGTTTTCGTCGGTTTAATTTAGAAACACCGCGCCGTCGCTAACCCTGGGGGATGACGGCCCAAGGAGGTTTCCACACGTAAAAGGTTTTTTTTTTTTAAATTAAGGGTCCGGGTGCCTCAATAACAGCTGCTCCCGAATCACTCCTATTTCAGGCACAGAGTAGTACACCGTATGGTTTTAGTCAGTTCAATTCCGACACACCGCCCTGCCGCAAATCCCGGTGTGACGGCGTGTTTGAGATGTGTGAAGTCCATTAATTAAAACATATTAGACATGCAAATTATGACAATATTTGGTTTTCGCTTCGATTTCTGTTTTTGACGCCCCCGTGGAAATGCCACCTGTGTGCGGTGCACGCTCTGCACACCCGTATCCGGCGGCCCTGCTCATCGGTATATAATTTTTAGAACTGTTATGTTGTTTAAGATTATAACTATTTAGATATAAAATCTATCTAAGTAATAACCTTAACCTCTTTACTCTTGTTTGTCATAAATATTCGTATATCTCAAAAAAGGCTCTAACGGCTGGGTATAAAATATGAATTTTTGTTTGATTGAGGTGTCGCTGGTACTTAAGTCGGTCAGTAATTCGTATAATTTATATTTGCGTTGTCCACTACTATCATTATAGGTTGAAACGTAATGCGAAATGTAGCAACCAATTATCTACATATTTATTCCTATCTTACCTGACTTTTATAATATTTTTACTAAAAACCACTTAACACTAACACAGGCAGACTTAGATTAGTTAGATGGTTACTTTTCTTTTATAAAATAAACGATTTGATTACAAAGAAACAATAAATAAGTAGAAAGGTCAGTTCCTTTTATAACAAAGTATACAATTTCTGCCAATCACTTTTTAGTAATCACAAAGTCTTGTAACTGCCACAAGTACTTTTTTTCAGGGACACGACACTACTGCATCAGGTCTCACTTTTTGCCTTATGCTGCTTGCTAATCATAAGGAAGTCCAAGTAAGTGTTGTTCTGCTTAGAAAACCTATGGAAAATATTAGGAGGTTCAGATTCATAATATTTCACCATTTTCTTTTCAGGACAATATTGTATCTGAATTAGATGAAATATTTGAAGGCTCAAACCGAAGTATTACAATGGGAGATTTGTCAAAGATGAAGTACTTAGAATGCTGTATTAAGGAGAGCCTACGTCTGTATCCTCCGGTGCATTTTATTAGTCGAGCATTGACCAAAACTGCAATCCTAAGTATGACATTTTGACTTTGACTAAATGGTTATTATATTCTCTCTGTATCAGTGGGGCAAGGATGCGCAGGAGCTGAGTCGGAATCCAAGAACTCGAGAAATCAAGGACCAGAAATCCGAACTCGCACACGCTCTTTAGAAGAAAGGAGAAGCCGTGCGTGGTCCTCACAAACGAGGGGACTATTTGAAACCGGTAGATGGCCCGGGATTCGTCAGGGTACCAGGGCTTTTCTTTCTAGGTTATACCTGTTTCCTGTTCCTGTTGTTTGTTTTAGTCGGTTCGAGTCTGACATAAAAAACTCACCGGTCCTCCGGTTCCAGAATTGCCGCACGAAAAAAAGGGTTAGATAGTATACTCGGTAAATGACGTAAAGAAGTAACAATTTTTGATGAAATAAGGATTTCTCTTATTTTATAAGTGTTTTCTTTTTATAATTAGTAGTTTATTGCATTGGAAAAATTTCTGAAAAGGCAAATATCAATATTTACAACGTACAGAGGGGTGACATGAATGAAATTCACAAGAAATATATTTGTGGAATAAAGATATTTGTGGATTGTGATTTTGCCAAAAATGTTTAGGTACTTTAAAAAACAAAAGTTTTCATAGCAAAAAGTGGACCATCACTAGGAAAAGCATTTGTTTTAATAAGTTTTTAAATATTTTTGTCGACTACACACAATGCTCTTAAAATTTGACCAAGCCTATCTGTAATATACTGTAAAGATTTTGGGAGTACGTTCTGTGTGTAATCATGAGAGAGCCAGGCCTCGTCACGTATGGGCGAGATCGACATGAGTGGTAATCTTCACAGAAAACCGGTTTTAAGCAATCCGTTACCGTTAGTGCGATCACTCACACGCCTAACTTGGAGATGAGGATTTAAAGGTCGGCAACGCGATTGTGTCTCTTGAACTGCAGGTGTTCATGAGCGGCGTTAGACTCTTAACATCAGGTGGCTCGTATGCTCGTTTGCTTCTTTAAACCAAGAAACTTTAAACAAAGAAAAAAAGAAATAACAGGGGTTTTTTGAGACCTATTAAAATGAATTATCAATGAATAATATTAAGTAATTAATGTTTTTCAGGTAATTACAAGGTACCATCAGGCACTATGTGTCATATTGATATAATGGAACTACATCATCGTGCCGATTTATTTCCTGACCCGGAAAAATTTGATCCTGAAAGATTTCTACCAGAAAATAGCGTCAATCGTCATCCTTACGCTTACATTCCTTTTAGCGCCGGTCCTAGAAACTGTATAGGTAGTAAATTACTATAAATCTCCTTAATTGTATTTAGTTACCGCATTTCTGGTCTCATAGTGGCTTATAATATCCATTTCAAACCCATTTGTTAGTATTCTAAGTTTTATTAATAAACCACAATTAAATTATAATATAAAATGTAGGTCAGTAAAAGCTTCATCATTCATCGTTTAAGAATTTCATGTTTCATTTTATAGGAATCTAAGATTTGTGGCGTCCTCTGAGTTTTTTGTTCCTCATAATGCTTTTAAATTTAATTAACTATATATTTTGTTTGAGATAAACATAAAAGTAGTACATAGTACTATGAAGAAGGCCCCGCTTTCATTTCACGTCTTAAGTATTGTTCTTTCTTTTAAATCTTGTTGCGTAGTGATCAAAGATTTCCAATGAGTTACTAAGGGCAGTCTCACACGAATGACCAGCCACAAGTTTTCGTCTCCAAGGGCATATTTAATCACTTCTATACAGAAATATTTTCAATTCAATATTTTATTTTCGTGCAGGCCAAAAATTCGCAATGATGGAAATGAAGATCACAATTGCAGCAACCTTGCGAGAGTTTGAGCTAGAGCCGGTCACACTACCTACAGACCTTGTGTTTATAGCCGACCTTGTACTGCGCAATCAAGGACCTGTACGAGTTAAATTTGTAAAAAGATTAGATTAAAAAAAAGGTTATGTATATGATTATGTATTTGTAATAAAGTATTCAAATAATTAAAATTTAAAAATATTAACTACATTAAATACATACAACAACATACAAATTGAATGATAGCCACATTAAATAACCTCTAACTAATTATAGTAACAAACCCTGGTCGCTAACATAATACTTACAAAAGAGTAATCTAAATTTAGCTTTTTTGTACTTAGAATGCCTTAATTTCTAATATATTCTGTCCAATTATAAAAAGAAAGATGCACCAAAACATGGAACTACCGAAAACCGGCGTGCGTTGTTCTGCCGAGAGAAAAGAGGGACTTTTCAATAAGGGTTTTGTACCTACATACGAGTACATACATTTTACGTAGGCAGTAAATGGGTGATAATTTTATTATTCACAAACTCGTCAGTGTTAGTTAAGAGAAAAAAATCTTGATTCTTCTCTTGTGATAAACAATAACTAACAAAATATGTTAAATCTGACGGTTAGAAATAGTTGTATTTTTTTGAATTTTTACAAAATATAAAGAAGATTTCTTGCATTATAAAAATTCAAGGTAATGTTTATTTGCTACTTTGTGATCCTGCCACTGCCACTAGCATGCAAGCACTTTTTTTTGTCCCACTACTTTAATAGCAGATTTAAAATTTGAATATTATGGCACATATTTTTAATCATGTTTACATCTATGTTTAGTCTGTAATAGGATCTTTTTTTATAAATAATATAATATTTTCGTCAAATCTATATTTATTTCTATTTTTATTTAATTATAATCAATAATATGATTATTTTATTAAGTTGATTCTTCAGTTACCAAAATATTTAAATAATGGAGCAGTACGTAACGTTGATATCTTTTTGTTACAATGTTTGTTATGGAGATTTGAGACTGATTTTCATTATGAAAGATTATATTATTTTTAAGAAATATTGTTATTACCATCTTGCTTATTTTTTTTCAATTTGGTCTTAACGGTTCTTGACAACTTGTTTTCTTTCGTTGCTCGAAATAAGGAAGGGCCCGATTAAATTTTGACAATATTATTCCGATTATTTAATTGATTTTTTAGAAATGTGTATGACTGTTCTTAGTTGTTTTTAGGTTTTGAACAATAATTTGTAATTTAACGAGAAAACTGTAATTTAATTTAATTTGTAACTACTACTAAACCTACAATTGCATATTATACTCGTACATACTGATTCATACAATTGAGTTTTTTTTTCATCATTTTGTAGCTGGATGGCCCCCAATAATAATTGCAATCAAGCCTTTAGGCGTAATGAGTAATTTAAATTATTTAAATTATTAGTAATTTAAAAGCTAAAAAGTTATAATATACTTAGAGTGCGTCCATCTGTACTTTTCTTATGGTTCCTACTCCAATGAAAATACACTTTGTACTTGTTCTTCAAGAGTAGCACTCACTGCACTACGTCACACTAACTTAACTAAACAACTAAAAAGGCTTAGGGTTCTTTAGTAATGATATATTCGTATCGTTACTTCACTTCACGTTCACTTATTCACCTCGGGTAGGATGAGCATGATTAAGATTTCTGAGATATTATGTTTTTATTTAAATAATTAAGCGTGTTCTGTTCAGTATGTACTCTGCTTTACAATATCAGTTTCGTCACATTGATTCTCCATTTCGTTACTTATTAGTTTTAAAACAATAATCCTGTAAAATTATTGCGTTGTGGGAGAATTTCAAGAGTCGTCACGAACCGTCTTCGAAAAGACTCGACGAATTCAAGCATAGCATAGCATTCGTGGACTATGAAAAGGCCTTTGACTCGATCGAAATCTGGTCAGTTCTGAAGTCCCTGCAGCGTTTCCAAGTAGATTGGTGATACATCCAAGTGATAAAATGTCTCTACGAAGCCGCCACTATGTCCGTCCAAGTACAGAATTAGCAAACAAGGCTCATACCGCTGCATCGAGGAGTGAGACAAGGGGACGTTATTCCCTCGAAATTTTTCACAAATGCAATGGACTACATGTTCAAGACACTGCACTGGAAAGAGTGTGGTATCAATATCAATTGCAAATACATCTCTCACTTGCGATTTGCAGACGACATCGTCATCATGGCAGAGACGCTCCAGGACTTACAACAGATAGATAAACTTGGATAAAACCAGGGTCATGTTCAATGAACATGTACTACCGGAACCGATTGCGGTACACGGTACCGTTCTCGAAGTTGTTCAAAGTTATGTGTACCTCGGGCAAACATTGCAGTTAGGTAGAAACAACTTTGAGGACAAGGAGAACAGAAGAATTCGGTTGGGTTGGGCAGCGGTTAGGAAGCTACGTCGAGTCTTCTCATCATTGATCCCAGAGTGCCTTAAGAGGAAAGTCTTGAATAAGTGCGTCCTACTCGTACATACGGAGCCGAAACGTGGATACTTATGGTACGGCTAGTCCATAAGTTCAAAGTCGCTCAACGTGCTATGGAAGGGGCTATGCTCGGCGTTTGTCTAAGGGATCGCACCAGAAATGAGGTGATCCGGTGGAGAACCAAGGTCACCTTGGACCGGTATGATCAGCAAGCTGAGGTGGCAGTGGGCTGGCCATATTAGCCGCAGAACTGACAAGCGTTGGGGCAAACGAGTTTTTGAGTGGAGACCGCGTCTCGGCAAACGTAGTGTAGGACGCCCACAGGCCAGTTGGAGTGACGATTTGCGCAAGATGGCTGGCAGGAGCTGGTTACGAGAAGCCTAAAATGGATCTAAGTGGCGAGAGAGGGTTATGTTCAGCAGTGGACAGCGATAGGCTGATGATGTGATGATTTGATGTGTGCGAAAATCGTAGGTGGGCGAGAATAATAGGAAGAGGCGAGGGGCGATTAGCGCAGTACTTTCACACATGTCCAAACACCAGCCTTACTAAAATGTGTTGAACAGTTTTAAAGTTACACAAAGAAATATTGCATCCGTGCGAAGGTGGTTAGTTATATATAAAAGTGCTATAACAGAGTAAAAATGTATATGTACTTAATTGTTTTGTGTAATAATAATAATAATAATATGGGTTGAAACTTGAAAAGCGTGTCCATCTGTATACTGAATATAGAGGCGAATAAAATTGTAGACGGAGTGTAGTGTGTTGAGTTAAAATATTATAGTATGTACTTTTACTGTCTGGAAGTTATTATAGGTTTACTTATTGTCTGTTAAACTCATTGACTATTTTCGCACTCTAAGTATACAGTGTCTAATATTATTATTTAAGCCAAAATAAACTTTTCACAATATTTTTCTTTCAATGTTTATTCCTCTATTCTACTCTAACAACTATTGGCACTTTCTTTAAAAAATATCCTTATGCTACTGTGGCGCTTCCAATTTAACTCGTCGGAAATCTAAGTATAGTTTTAGTTTTCTGATAATCTTATATTACAGGATGAAATGCGAAGAGAATTAACCGAAATATTTGGTAACTCTAAGCGTCCTATGAAACTAGAGGTTTGAACAAGATGAAGTACCTGGATTGTTGTATCAGGGAATCTTTACGCATGTACGTAAATATTCCCTGATACAATGAATGAAACTACAAAACTAAGCAAGTATTTTCTAAATAGGTATTTTTTCTCTTTTTATGGTAGTATGGGGGTAAACGAGCTGATGAATACCGGTTAACACCGGTTTTCTAAGTGGCCCTGGGAACTCCGGTAGAACCGGGTCATGCCTGCCGAAGAATGGCTCTCAAACGATTTAGGGAAAAAACCTATTGTAAAACAATAGGTTTTTTTATATATCATCCGTTTTCAGGTAACTACACAGTTCCAGCGGGAACGATTTGTCATATTTTCATTTTAAATCTTCATTATCGCGAAAACATATACAATAATCCAACAAGGTTTGATCCTGATCGGTTTCTACCCAAAAACAGCGCAGGTCGACATCTTTTTGCTTATATACCATTCAGTGCTGGACCTAGGATCTGTATAGGTAAGGCGCATAACGAACAACTTCTTTGGCTTTATACTTTCATTATAAGATACTATACTCTGCTTAGTTTGGGACTAGATGGCGTTGTGTGAATGTGGTATAATATTATTATTATTATTATGTCATTTTATAACTTGTCTCTTCTCCCTTTTATTTTAAAGGGGTAACAAAATCTAACACACGGGCTTTAGCCAAGTGTGCCAAAAAGGGATGATGATATGAAGTTAAGATGATGAGGATGAAGCGAGAAATTTGCGTGTGAGACGGCATGTGTTAAGAAGGACTGCTTTTTGTAAGAGTATGAGAGAGGATTTCGGCATTTCCAATGTGTTGAGGCTATCTTGAAGAGTCTTCGGTACTACACCAGTTGTAGATATGACAATGGGTACTATTTTAACTATATTTACCTGCCATTGCCTTTTTATTTCCGTTGCTAAGTCTGTGTATTTAGTCATCTTTTCTGTGTGCGTCGTGAGGAGATTGTGTGTGTTACATACTGCTATGTCTATAATAAAAACTATTTTGTTAGTTTTGTCTAGTATGGTTATATCCGGTCTATTATAATGTATGGTTTTGTCGGTAATTATTGTCCTATCCCAATATATTTTAAATGCATTATTTTCTAGAACTGTACTGGGTTTATATTTATAATAAGCAGTTTTATTTGAAATAAATGAGTATTTGTGAGCTAGATTTTGATGGATTATTGCTGCAACTTGGTCATGTCTGTGCTTATAATCAGTTTGTACAATATATTTACAAGAACCAGTGATGTGTTGGATGGTTTCGGAACTGCTATGGCATCGTCTACATAAGTCGGTAGGAAGGTTAAGGGTACGGATTATGTGTTTTTTATAGTTAAGAGTATCGATAACCTGATCCTGAATAGCGATCACAAAAGCCTCGGTTTCTGGGAAGAGTTCTCAGCGCCGCAGCCACTCGTTCGACGCTTTTCTATCGACGTGTGTTTGGCTGAGATCGGCGATTTGTCTGCCGTGTAGAGACTTTTGTGCCCATAAGTCTATTTTCTGCTGTT